AAGTGAGAAATGAAATTCAAGAAGGAATTACTTCCGTCCACGAAGGGTTGGCTGCCTTGCAAATTATGATGACGCAGAAAGGAGATAACGTGACAGAAGAGGACCTTAAAGAATTACAACTTAATGCGTGTTCCATAAAGGATTTTGGTGAATACGATAATGAAAATAAAAACAAGAATATTCGAAAGCGAAAGTATATTGGAAATATCGTCGCAGTGAAAAAACTGGATAATCCTGATTTACAACTGAAGAAAGTTGCCAAGCAAGCAAAAATCGTTAAATTACTAAGCGCTTGTGATCACATCGAAAAATTGTAATTATAAATAATATTGTTCTCAATCTTAAGTTTCACTGAATTAATTAATATGACTGTCTACAGCTACGGTATCTACGAAGAACAAATGGAGGGAAAAAATTACCTCTTCGTAGTCACCAAATGGATGGAAAATGGAAATCTCAAGGGATATTTAGCCAATAAAAAACAGATTCCGTGGAGTACCAAACTTAATATCGCATACCAAATTGCCTTGGCTCTCGAATTTTGCAACGATGCTAGCGTTTATCATCGAGACGTTAGAAGGTATATAACCCTGATCTATATTATTACATCCACATTTTATATTTTATATTAATTTATCTTAATATAATTCTCTACTTAGCGAAAATATATTACTTAATGAAAATTTACATGCCAAGCTTACTAATTTTGAAATGAGCCGAACGTTCGGAGAAAAATCATCCGAAATGCCACTTGAGACTTTAAGGTATGTAATTTTTTTTTTTTGTTGACATTATCAAATATCGAGTTTATTATTCATTACGATTCGTTAATTTTTATTATTAGGTGGACCGCACCAGAAAAACTCAAATTTCCAAAGCAACCTTACACTGATAAGTGTGAAGTATACAGGTATAGTATGACGGAGAAACATCGTATATATCGCTGAAAATTACCTTACAAATTTAATATATTTTAGTTTTGCGGTCCTTCTCTGGGAAATTTCTTCACATAAAATTCCATTTGATGAAATCGATAATCCCATAAAAGCGAGTGAAAAGGCTAAAGCGGGAGGACGCCCCGGCCCATTTTCGAATGGCACACCACAACAATATAAGGAATTGATTGAGAAGGCCTGGCACGAAAACCACATGAAACGTCCGGCAATTTCAGAAGTGGGAGAACAACTTGAAAATATGCTAAAAATAGTGAGAAAAGGGAGAAATAAACTACTAACTCGAAGTGATACTTCAGCATCCCTTATAGATGAATCGGAGGATATGACATCAAATAACTCGCTCGGCATCAAAGAAGCAATATCTCTTTATGAAAATGACGAATGCAAAAAGGCTTTCCCCCATTTCCTAAAACTAGCACGAGATGGTGACCCTGAAGCCTCATATTACGCGGGTCTTTGTCTATTTTATGAAAAAGGTGGTATTAAAAAAGATGAGATCCAAGCTTTACAATTATTTCAAAAATCGGCTGAAAATAATCATGTAGGAGGCCAGTACATGTACGCTTATGCATGTCTTAGAGGCACCTATTTTTCTAAAGAAGAGGGTCTAAAATATCTTAAAAAATCCGCTCTTATTCATAAACACCCCGATGCCTTATACATGGTTTCTCAGCTATTCTTGAATGGTGATCTCGGTTATCCTGTTGACGATAAGAAATATAAGGAATACTTAGAAAAGGCCGCGCAAGCTGGGTCTACGAAAGCAATAGAGGAACTCATGGTTTTTTAAAAAGAAAAAAAAAAAAACGTTAATAATTATGTAAATGACAAATTCTCGTCATGTTAGATTTATATAATTAAATTATTGTTATTTACAGTAACTATTAATGACATTTAATTTGTACTTTTTATTCACGATTTTAACTTAAAAGACCTACCACGTGATTTACGTGACGATGTTTGAGTTATCTCTGCGCATGCAATAATTTACTGTATCTTCAAATAATAAAAAAATATGCGATTGATTTCGTTATTAAATTTGTCGATAAATCGGTGTTAGAATGCATTAAGTTAGGTAACACAGCAAATACGTACTTTAAGTGATGTGAAATGCACTTCGCGTCCAAACTTCAACATTATGGACATTATGTAATAATAGTTGTATACTATGGTTGGGAGAGGGAAATGGAATCATTTAAAGAAACATAATAAATTGTGATTCTTACATAATGAACATTTTTTTTTTGATCGGGTTGAATAATCAAAATCGTATTTGCATTAAAATCAAAAATGGTAATATTGGCGATATCTCTCTGACTATGCGAAAAGTAAACTTGATGTTAACACTACAAAATACTACCACCAAGAAGGGGTCACTTACAATCGCGCATTCTGCAATCACATGAGTGCATGCGGCTATCAGATATGCATGTATTCTTAAAACTTTTTCAAGGAGCAATCACCAAAATTCAGCCAATAATGTATAATATATTTGCAGATTGCACCAAACCTTTTTTTTTTCCTGGCAAACACGTATCACTGGTAAATATTGCGCCGAATTATGGTATTCGAATTTCACAAATGGAAAATCCTTGGACCCCGAACTTTTAAGTTCAAAGAGAAAAAACTTTTGGGGGGTCCCGAGTTTTTTCTTTGGACTGCTACACAAATACAATACAGTATAGCTGGCTAGCTTTAAACTAGATCTCCAAGTTGAACAAAGAAGTGTCTGGGTAGTACTTAAATGTATACACAGTACATATCACACAGTAAAATCTCGTCAAGCCAAATATGGGAATTCCTTGTTTTCAAGGATTCCGGCTTTGAGATTAACTTTCAAACAATCGATATGCATCATCATTATCATTTGTTCCTTCATATTGCGCCTTCGCAAACAATACCTACGCAATTAATTTTTGGGTCAACCTTAAACCCTAAACATAAGCGATCACAGTTCCAGACGTTTGTAATACTTTGCCCTGACTGCATGCGTCAATAGATTAATAACAATTGCCATTTGGCTTCCCTTACTGGTCTTTATATCATTTCAACTTATCGGCTAGAACTCGAAGGAAAAGTCGATTTTACGTGCGGTATATTGTATAAGCAAATATTGATTATGGTAGAGTTACGCGACGACATGCATTCTGATGTGTGAATGGGTTATGAAAAAATACAAAGGATCTACAAATACTTTGTTTAAGCGTGGCGTGAAACAAGGTCAATAACTAATATGGCAGTATTATATGCTAATAAGGACAATGGCCAATATGGAAATATTAAATGCGATACTACCCACCCTCGTTTAAAGCAGAAGGAATTGATAACCATTATACGAAAATATAAAGACAATCTTTATTATTGCGCATGCAGACATTCTCGTATAAAAGGACCCCTTCACCTTCATCCTGAAAGTTCCCCCACTGCCAAATTAAACTTGAGAACAAGTATGGCTGAGACTAATTCAGTGACCTCGGGAACAACGGATATAGCATCCGTGGAAATCAACAAAGAAGATCTCATAATAAAATCAATTTATAAACTCTCGGAAGATTTAATCGGTTTTTTAAATAAACCGGAGGGATACGACGTAAAACTAGAGATCGGAAAGGAACCAGATGTTGAAGAATTTTACGCGCACTCAGCCATTCTTCGAGCTAGGTCTTCTTATTTTTATAAAGCCTTATCCAAGAATCTGGATAAAGAAAATACCACTACCGACAATGATGGAGGCAGCACTGTGGCTTACATCTACACGGCAATATCAAAAACATTTTTCATGACTGGCACGGAGGAAGGTAATGTTGTCATTTTTAAAAAAGAAAACATTGCCCCAAAAGCCTTCCGACTCCTTCTAAAGTAAGTTTCTGAGTTGTTATTATCGTTATCATTTTATTTTAACGAGGTCGCGGTCTTTGAATTAAGTCATCAATTCGATTTAGTATCATATACGGCGGATCTGCTAAAATGAGTGGATTGACACCACCCGAATTTCTGGAACTTCTCGAAGCATATGACGAATTAGGCATCCAAGGATTTGATGATTATTTACAACAATACTTTCTCGAAAACAATAGAGAATGGATTCGAGATAATCTGCTTACCCTCGAAGCTTTCTCTTCCAAACACGGATCGTTCCGCGATATTAGAGGCTATTGCCTTGATCAACTCTGTCAAAATTCGGATCTCGTATTTAGGCCAACTGACATCAAGGAAATTAACAAGGGCGTTATAATTGAATTGCTGAAACGAGACGATCTAATCGCAGAAGAAATTGATCTTTGGAATTTCGTTATTCAATGGGGTGTTGCTCAAGTTCCTGGTGTTACCAAAGAAGATGGGACCATAGATTGGACTAAAGAAGAGGAGGTCGGTAAATTGAAAGAGGCCGTGCGAGATTTAGTCTCTCTAATTAGGTTCAAGTGGATAGGACATGAGGATTTCTATGATAAAGTCAGACCCTGCAAACTGTTGTTTGAAAGTGAAGTGTATGAAAAGACCATGAAACACTATTTTACGGTCAAAAACCATGCTTCCTCACCAATCCAAGTGCAAACTGGCTCGTTAACTCTTCAGGAGCCATCCCCGGTTCCCCCCTCGCCAACCGTTTCAGAATCGGCCCTTTCATCTGGCTCAAAAGCCGAATCTGCCAAGCCAAGAGCCAAATATACTAATTTTATCATCAAAGAAAACGGTGATTACGAGAGTCTCATTTCCAGCTGGATTGATAAAAAGAAATATGACCAAGATTACCAACCTTACAAGTTTAAACTCTTGTACAAAGGTTCGGCTAACAAGTTTTCCTATGTATCTTTCCACGAAAAATGTGATACCATACCGGGCACCTTGGTAATTGCAAGAATTAAAGATACGGGAGAACTCGTCGGTGGATATAATCCTCGTAGGTGGAATCCCAAAAAGGTTTCCGGTCGTGTTACCACTTCCACCTATCCGATATATTGTGCGAAGTCATTCATATTTAAACTCGATGGTGAAAATGTGGAAAGATCCATAATCAGCCGAATCAAGGAACCCTATAATGCATTGTGTCATAAGAAAGATTCGGGACCGAACTTCTACGACCTCGCAATTTACAATCAAACCACTCCAGTTACTTACGAACAAAAATATTATGACACCGACTTAAATCTGAAAGCCCATTTATTGGAAGATTACGAAGTGTACAGGGTGTTGCAAAATTAACGAACCCCTGCTCCGACCAAGACTATCACTAGAATTTCCCCGCGGTTTTCAGCCCCAACCTTTTTAACCGATTGCATTACGTGTACATTTACTTTTATATTCAAAATATTCATTTCAAAGAGTTTAGATGCATGACCATTTTCGTAACAAATAAAGCTATTTATTTATCTGCAATAAAGTTTCAACCTTCATTCAAAATTTTTTAAATGAATCATTAAATACAACACGAAAACAAATGTGCACGTTTGTTGATCCATGAGATGGTGTTGTGGTTTTTGGAGTGTTTTCCGTGAAAAAAAAATTACGAATGTTCTATGTAACCGGATAACATCATCTATTTTCAATTTAAAAAGTATTTCTAACTTTTCATATTGAAATATCATTATATGATTGTTTCCAAAAGTTTGAGTCCACTTACTATGTTTTTAATGTTTTTTATTATAAATTTTAACTTTGACAATTTTAAATTGTTAATTATTATTATTATTATTATTTTTTTTTTGATCGGGTTGAATAATCAAAATCGTATTTGCATTAAAATCAAAAATGGTAATATTGGCGATATCTC